TAAATACTCAAAGAATAGAAAGGAAAACAAACTCCAAAACTCCAATATATGTTACACCATTTACTACGTTGAAGCTTTCGAACAAAGAATTTTACTTTGCAAATGTAAAGAACACTTTAAATATATGAAGATTAAAGTTTCTCCTCTCAAGATTTAGCATGTAAAGAAGGAAAGAGAAATGGAAAAAAATGATGGAGTTCTTATCATTTGAATATCCCTCACAAGAAAAGAAAGAGGGGTACTTTAAAGAAAAGTAAGTAAAGACAATTTTAAATAACACTAATAATCTAATATTAATTTTTCAACTAATAATATAATATTAACAAAAGAACTCATTTATATTAAATAAATAATTTATCAACTAATAATATAATATTATCAAAAGAACTCATTTATATTAAATAAATATAAGTTTCAAATGACTGGAAAATGGATAGTTGCATATAAAAGTAAAAAAGTTTTCATATACATCCAAAATGAGGCAAAAATTGCTACCCAACTTAAAGTATAAAAATGGGTAAAGTTTAAAAAATCTTTATAAACTCAATTTAGATCCAAAGTAAGTTATGTAACCTATCAATTTATATCTACAAACTCCAGTGAATCTAATGTAACACAATTTATGCCAATAATAACTTAATATTATATATAGTAAAATAATAACTTATGCATATTTTAATGTATTTAAAGATATATAAATACTCATATAGCAATATTAAAAAATTTAGTTAAAGTTATTTGTATATTAGTAATTTTATATTAAAAAAAAATTCATTCCAAATTAATGCATATTAAAAGTTTAAACATATAAGCTTAATACTATTAGTTATGCTAATTAAGTGTCCTTTTATATTTGATATATTTTTTTTCATGTAAAATTTATTTAATAAAGGAATCATATAAATTTCTTAATTAAGCTGATATCTTTATCTAAAATATAAGTAAATAATTTTAATTGATATTTAAATTCTGAACAAATCAAACCATGTAATTAAATATATATGGGCCTCTAAGATACTGTTAAGTTAATATAAAAATCTTTAAGCTATCCTTCTTGGTGAATCTTGAGTTCTTGCTGCTCAAATTTTGAAGAGGTTCTGAAATGTACATCACATATAAATAATTATCTTTTATATCCATCAAACCAGTACACCTAAAATAATTAGCTTTCATAGGTCATGAGGAAGATAATGCCAATAATAATAAAATGTATAGTGATTTGAAAATTTTATTTTGGTGGCCTAGATAAATTAAAGATCCAACTAACTTTATCTCAAAATATGAATCTTGCTAGCTTTTCAAAGAAGAGCATCAACGATCAGGTGGACATTAATAAGCATTCCCTATTTTGGAGTTGAAATGGGAAGATGTGATGATGAATTTTATTATGGGATTATCTAGATTATAGAAAGGATAATGTTTTTTATGTTATAGTGGATCATTTGACAAATTATGCTCATTTCATTCTGATCTGATTGGTTAATTATGAGGATAGGTTGGCACAAATTTATGTTTTGGAGATTGTCATATTTCACAAAATGCTTTAGGCAATAATTTTGGATCAAGATCGGATATTTTCCTCAAGCTTTTTGAAAGAAATTTCATAAGGTTTGGGTATTAAATTGCATTTCAGTACATCATTTAATCTATAGACTGAGAGACAATCTAGGAGAACTTTTCAAATTTTTAAGAAATTATAATTCTTTGTTTTCTGGACTTTAGTGGAAGTTGGTGAAGATCATATTCTACTTATTGAATTTACCTACAAAAATATTATTTAGTCAAGTATGCCTATTACCCATTAAGAATATCTATATAAGTGGAAGTGTAAAACCCCACAATCCTTTATATTAATGGGAGAAAAAAGTCTATTTGAGCAAGTTTTAATTAATGATTCCATTGAAAAATCTTTTTGAATAGATAAAGATTAAAAGTTATAAAAAATAGACAAAACTAATATTATAATGTGAAGCATTGATCAATGGAATCTCATATTATGAATTTTATATATGTGAAGATCAAACTGATGAAAGGTATAAGTAGATTTTGGAAAGGAAGGAAAGCTTAGTCCAAGGAACATTTAACCTTTCAGGGTTAGCAAACCAGTGTCTCTATTTGGAGCACCATGATGCCAAATCAACGTTTTATAAAAATATTGATTGCATTAAAACTCTCATTTGGTAAACCCTCCCTTAAGGTAGTAGGCTTAGTGAGAAAGGACTTAGGTGAGAAAAAGTCATATTTGGGTTAATCTATTCTATTTTCTAAAATTAGTCTAATTTGAAAAGTTATCCGGATCAAGGTAGTTTACATTCTACTTATCTCCTTTTTAATATTATGAAAATTTTTATATTTATTTTTTAATTATAAATTTGTAGTGTAAGAATAAGGGTAACTACATATCTTCTAAATCTTCACTATGTAATTTTTTACATGTTATAAATATAAGAATTTTGGATATTCTAGTATTTTCTTTTAAAAGTTCTACTATGTAGACTAAAAAAATGCACTACTTTTAACAAAAGCAAAAAATGATTTTTACTATAAAAAAATAAACCATTAGTATATTTAAATCTTTAAAATAGTGTTTTGAATAATCCGTAACAAATATTTGATAATTTTTTTTATTTATGATATTCTGCTAAGTTATTAAACTTGTTAGCTACCAATACAATATTTTATAGTTTGACTATTTTCATTTGTTTTATTGAAACTTAATTATATATGCACTTATCTACTTAAAATGCATGATCTTGAGAAGTTTTAAATATTAGAGTAAGTTTCATTGTTAAATCAATTGATTGTAAGGGCTTATATTTTTGAATATCTATTATGCTAAGCATTTAGGAGTCATGAAGGCCTATTTTTATATGCTAGTATAATAAGTCATAAGGGCCTAAATCTTGATATTTGTTTATGTTTGCATGCATAAGAGCTTGAGATAAATATATTACTTTTATCTTTGATATATAAAGTACACATTTATTTATATTTTGTATAAAGCCTATCTAGTTTCTATTATCTACAAGAACTATCCTATTTAGTAAAATAGTTTGCGAATAATTACTCTTAATTTAGTATCTATTTATTAGTATAATATTAAAAATTTAGATCGATGGGTGCGCCATACCTATTTTATATTGACTTTCAGCTTAAGATAACATTTAGGAGTTAGTTGATTAGCTGGGTTGCAGGTTCTAATAGTCGTATTTTATATAGGATTTTTTTTTTTTTGTTATCAAAGCTATATTGAACACAACTCTATTTCTACTGTTGCAACTTAAATTTAATGATTAAGTTTTATATCATGTAATTTTTTGATGATACCAAAATACTATTGTTATTATTACTATTTATCCTAACATGCATTGGATATATTTTCTTTGTATTGTTTATATGTACTAACATTTTTGAGAAATTATACTTTAGACTACTAAAGACTTTAAGATAGATTAGATTTGAGTTTCTTATAATGAAGTCTATAATTTTTCTATTTTTCTTGAGTCTGAGAAAATGTGATTATAATTGGATAACCTTGCACACACACTAGGGGACTGAGTTGAAACTTTACTTTTTAAAACTAGTAATACTACACAATTTTTAAGTTGTACTAGATGGTTTGTCTTGGTAGTTCCTCCAAAATTAAGTTTGTCAAATCATGTCCGGAAATTTTTTTGTACTATTAATATTGTATGATAATATTTCATATAAATAACTCATAAAGTACAAAAATAGTCATATCAGTTCATCCCAAATGAACTCATCATTTTTTGAATTCTTCGTACTGTACGAAGAGGGGTTCGTATAGATGACTCATAGAGTATGAAATGGGTACTTACTAGTTCATCCCAAATGATCTCATTAATTTTTGAACTGATTGCATTATACGATGCTGGGTTTGTACAGATGACTCACAGGGTAGGGAATGGGGTCGTCCATATTCATACCAAATGAAACATGATTTGTTTAATCAGTTCATACTATATGATGAAAGGTTTGTACAGATGATTCACAGTTATGAAATGGGTTCGTATATAATCATACTGGATAAATTGGTTAAGTTTTGAACTTTTTGTACTATACGATGTCAGTTTAAATAGATGATAGATAGAGTACAAAATCAGGTTCGTATAGGATCGTACATGGATTTTTTAATTATTCATATAGATAAAGTAAGATCATAATGTATGATCTGAGCATGTTCAAGAAAAAATTCCAATTTTATAGAAAGTTTTTCTTGTCATTCATATATAAGTGTCCTAAAAACTGACACTCGAGAGATCTTGCTACGAATTTCTTTCAAGAGTGCAAAAGGAGAGTGTTTGGGAGAGTATTTAAGGAGTGCATATTTAGATATCTTATGAAGGAAATTGTGGGGGGATTCACAAGTTTGCTCAAATGCTAATACATAATATATACAACTAAATATACAAAAATACATAGTAATATCTAATAATACATAATAATACTTGGTCGACGCATCATATTTTCATTGGAGTCCAATCGTAACTTCTACATTTCTTGTCCGGAGGTAATAATTTCTCATAAAAGTGAGAGCTCAGCCCATCTTTTAAAGCCAACAAACAAAAGGAATATAAATACCAGAAATGCATACTTCTTGTTTTAGCTCAAGAATATTTAGAAATATCTAAAGCTTTAGCTCAAGAATATTTAGAAAAATCTGAAATAAAAACCATTATTTGCCGTGGAGAAATTTGTTGCACACCGGCTAGCAGCACCAAGTTCTGAATGCTTTGAGATAGATGCTCAGTGATTTAAACGGTGTGCTTAATCAGAGGGTTTTAATGAAGCTAACAAATTAACACGCGGAGCTTAAGCACTACATATCGTTTATTGAAACGGAAGGCCAAATAACAGGGTCAAAACCCTTCAATGCCATGGTACCCACAAAACACGATTTACCATTCAGCCTCTCAACCCCGTCCCTGTGATCTCTGCTACGGTTGCAGCTGCCCCTTCTATAAATGTATCACTTCATCAATACTCTCTTCCTCCAAGAAAGTCACACCTTTTACCTTTAGTTGGCTAACCATCTCTCCTCCACATTCAAGACCCCTCTCTTCAGCCTCTTCTCTCACTTCCCTTCTCCTTCACAAATTTATTTCAAAGTCTTTTTGCCTGCCTCTTTCACCAATTTGAAGTCCCCTTTCCTTCAACACAGCCATCTCCGTTGTTTCACAAATTCATTGCCATACCTCTTCCTATATATGTCTCTTACAGCCTAGCTATTTCCTGTGTTGTCTTCCTCATAAGCTGGGTCATGTGAGAGTGAAGGTTGTGGGTGCATAGTGGCCGGTGTTTTGCTCAAGACCGCGCAACGTTTCCATATTACACCGCATCGCTGTACTGGCCTATCAATTAGAGGAGCTTCTTCTTTGCAGCAGAAGAGAAGAAAGAGAAGATCGAGTACTGATCAATGGATAGGTCTGCACGCCGATGCGCTGCTTATGGCCTGGCTGCGTGGTCTTGCGCAAGATAACACCGCTTATCCGCTCTTCTCTGTGCTTTCACACGCCATAGCTGTCTTTCCTCTGCTATCAAAACTTTCTTCTTTCGTTTTTTTTTTAATATCCTATCATGGCAAAAAAAATAGCATCTATTCTTCTCCTTCCTTTACCACAGGGATTACATGGTTTAACCTCGCAAGTGTTTTATTTATCTCTTAGCTATTTCTTTCTTTTCTGTTATATTTTCATATTACATGGTTTGCTTGAGCCAATATTCTTCGTATCATTCATAGATGCAGCGCATTTCTGTAAGAGAAAGGACAAAGACTCGACCTGACGTGGTTTGGAGCAGAAACCTAGCATCTCGCAGGTGCGGCGTCATCCTCGCCATCTTTCTTAAATTTTCATGATCATTTTGTTCCTTTAATTTGATTCCCCCCCTCTCTCTCTCTAAAAGCTGGTTTTTTATGTATCTATTTATATACATATGTCATGTCGAAATAGTTCTTGGGAAAACGCAGGATGGAATTGACGAAGGCAATCGCCGACAAGGAGGTTAGGATTTGGAAGACACCGAGGCGGCCACGGCGCGCGCGGAAAGGGAAGGCCCGATCGCCCGGGAATTTTGGCCCGAAGGGGCGGGCAGGTCGATGCTGGCTAGCTGCCGACCCATCGGGTCACATCGGAGGCGACAACCAGGCCGGTGAGGGACGGCGTGTGCGCCACGCCGAACGGTCCCCTTACGCCCTTCTCTTTCCTCAGTTGGCATGTGGGGGCAAATTCTTTGTATGGTTCGGGTACGAGATGAGATCGGGTTGGACAAATGTGCGCGTTTGTGCTTCGCCGAGGAAACTCATTCATCCTTACGTTATTTATTTGAGACAAAAGAAAACGATGTGGCTTCCGCATTCAATCCCATCCCTTTGTAATGTTGGTAGTATTTATTAGTTTGTCAGATATAGCCGGTGCATAGGTTGAAATCTGCTGCACTGTGAAAGGTCCAGCTCATTATGTGAGTTTTATCTACAGGGAAATGATAACGGTGCTGCTTATATCTATATATATATATTATTTTCTACATAATAACTTCCTAAATTATTATTTTTGAATATGAATATTGGATAGATAGATTTTAGTAACTTTTGGTATTGATAAAAATTCTCTTAATATCTTTATTATATGTTAAGGTATTTTTATTTTTGCATAGATACATAATGAAAACAATTGTTTTTTTGAAATTTGATATATGTATGATGCACTTCTTAGTGCATAAAAAACCATATCCAACTGCCTGCTTATCTTCCAGGAAATATCAAATCATAAATAGGGAAAAAAAAAAAAACAAATCAAGGAAATATAAAATATTTAAAATCATATATAGAAATTAATTAGTATAGTGGATCCAAGTATTTAAGGGGCTTGATCCGCTGCATTAAAGCCCAACTTCGAAACTCTCCGGTTCAAGCTTCTAAACTCTAGAAATCTATTTATTCTGTTGTCTCAAAGATTAAAGGGAAAATTATTTTTAATATTGCTTCTAATAGTAATCTATGTATTGGGACACTTGGTGCAAAGGTAAAACTCTCTCAGAGTTTTTTAATCTTCCGAGGCTATCTCAAGACCTTGTTAGAAGTTTCATCCAACAGAATTTTTGGGTTCTACCTAACTCTATCCCACAAGCTCAAGAGGAAATCCTATCTATTTCTATTACTAAGCAACCAGTGGTGGTCTGGGATTGCTCGGTCCATACCTCACAGTTTATTTATGACTAATTTTTTTAAGCATCTACCTTCAATTTCTTGGTATAAATTTGTTTGACACAAAAGACATTCAATTAGATTTTCCTCTTTTTGCTTGGATGAAAATTATTGAGAGGTTAAAGACCGTTGATTTGCTCATTAAGAAAAATATAAACCTTGTGTTTTCTTCCATAATTCCACGGAACCACATAAACATTTATTCTTCAAATACGACTTTTCGTTCTCAGTTGTTTCATACTTATTCCTTCTCATGAGCTCTTTTTTAATGAGGCCTTCTTTACTTCAAGTTCCAGAACATATTGAGAATTTGAATGGGTACAATAAAAAGGATAAGAGCTTTTGTTATTTATTTGTTTGTTCTTCGGTGTACATCATCTAGATAAAAACAAATAATTGTCAATTTTGAGGAAGAAAATGCTTCCCCTATTACTGTTTGTAATTCAGTAAAACAGGCTGATAAAATTAGGGTTACAAGATGAAAAAGCTTTGAGGAGCTAGCTTACCCAACTTTTTTCAGACCTGCTCTATTGAATCGGTTTCTTCATTTTGTCTTATGATTATGTGGTTTTGTTTTTGCTACTGGATAATAATAAGTGTAGTCAACAATCATCCTTTTTTTGTTGGAAGGCCTTGGTGGCAATCAAGACTATGTATGATGGAATCTACTACCTCAAGAACATTTCACCTTTTACTAGAGGCCTTGAGCCATATGATTTCATGGCTTGGTGGCAATTATGTGCTTCATTTTCTCGATTCAAATGATGCAACTGAATGACTTAATTATTTAAGTTTTTTTGATTAATTTGATTGTTGGCATTTTAATCGCCCGAGTTTTTCCCCTCTCTCAAAAACCTTTTCTCGGTGACTAGATAGTGCGAATCTCTTCTACATTTTTTGTTCGTTTTACTTCTAATTATTTTTCAGATGCTTTTTTCAATTTTTGTAATTTCTTTTTAATAATATTAAAAAAAAAAACTTTCATTGTAAGAATGGTCATGTCACAACCCGTCCCGATGAGCTCACAAAAAGGCGAGGCGAGAACGAAAGTCAGACAGTAGGAATTAAAGCCTTCACATAACTTTATTAACATGTCTCCAAACATAAAAAAAATATCCTCAACATAATGAAAGAGCCGCTAAAGAACTCCAAGTAAAAATTTTTCATTTCATTTCATTCATCAATCAAAATTAACATATACATGAAGATTCATTTCAAAATGAAGGGTGTTCAAAATAGAACTAACCATCAAAGTTATCCTATACATCCATCTATACCAAAACAATAAAAACTCAAAAGGAACTTGCCGCCTGTCGTCTCCCTACGACGGTAGGTATGCGGTGGTTGGTCCGCTATTAATGATTTGCATGATTTCCTGAAAATTTCCACAGCATAGGAGAGCCATAACTTAGTAGGTAAATGCTTTTCAATTAAATTTCAGAAAAACAAGGTAAAGTGGTTAAATGTATGCTAATGCTTCTAGTGTAGGAACAATAAACATATCATAATATTTAGCTAGCATGCCTCTAAGTCATCAATTAAGTCTCTTTCTTTGGATAAGCTTGCAACAAATTTCCTTATACATTGCATGATTTGTTTTCATGATTCATGTGATGCTTCTTATGCATATAATATAATACATAATTTATAATCACCTGTCTCAAAAGTATCATTTGTACTTATCAGGTACACATTAATTGGTCTTTCTTTTAGCATTTGGTTCAAAAGAACCTCTTTACCATTTGGCTCAAAATAGCCCTATTACCATTGCTCAATAGATCTCGTTTACCATTGATACTTCCGCGTCAACATGCACATGCATATATTCTTCACTTAATCAAAATAAGAACTTTAGCATATCCTTCATGCATATGATCTATTAATCCATAAGGTGCTACATGATTACATGGTTTCTTGAGAAAAGAGACATGAGCTATGTACTTTCTTTAATCATCACATGAGAAGGATATAATTGCATTACAAACTACCACATGAGAAAGACACTTGCATTGTAAACATCACACAAGTAAAACATATGCATTGTAGTAGGCATATGGTCAAGTGTCTTTAAATCTTTCTACATGAGTACATATTATTAAGCTAATCATAAGAGCGTGTTACATGATATTTATGAGCACGTTAGGATGTAGAAGAAAAATACAATTGAAATAATACTAAGAATCCAATAACAATACAAGAACATGCTATCGTGAAAAGAAAACAAATTTCTTTTCCTGAATTTAAAAGAGCCACATTTTACCTAACTCAACTTGTGTACAAACTTCCGATTGTTCAGTCAAATCCTTTCCCTCAATGCATTCAATATCTAAAAGAGACATATATATCATGTAAATATCACTAGTCCCCATATAAACTTCTTAAATCCTTAATTCATGACAATAAAGAACTCATCCCTATGTTTTGTCCATGCTCTCAATTTAAACCACTTTACCATTTCATGACATATCCCACTCATCTTTTCTCTAAAATAGGATTTAGTTATAATCTTAAATTATTATGCATGCAAATATCTTTCCCTACACTCAAATAGTAATTAAAATATAAATAATTTTTAGAATATTTTAAATCAAAATTTAGAAAAACTAGTATTTTATGCAAAAGCACTAAATTTGCCTCTAAAAACCTTCTCAAATCCATTGAGAACCATAAGCTCAAAATTTTCATGATTAGAGAAAAACCCTAATTTCTAAAACTTTAAATTTTTCCACATCTTGCATTATTTTTCAAATAGAGGCTCTTTTATACCATTAGGAGTTACTTTTGTGAAGGCATTTAAAAAAAAAAAATCAACCTTGAGTGGAACCCTAAATTTTAAAATCCACATCTTTCATGAAATCAACTCATTTTTTGGTTTAAAAACATCCCCTACCCTTTCCTATCTTTATCTTAAAGAAAATTTGCATTTCTACAAAACCCTAGATTTTTTTCCTTAGTGAAAACTCCTTGAAAAGAAGAGAAAACTCTTTCAAACAACATCCCTTAACCTTCTTTACAAGTTCCCTTCAAATTCCCTCGCAAACCGTCGCCGGAAACCGCCCCTAGGCTCTCCCGTCGCCATTCCTACCCAACGCCTTCTCCCTTTTCTACACTAGGTTCGAGCCGCAAGAAGGAATGGAGATCGAAACATTTGAGTCACCTATTTAGAGTGGGATACTCTCATTAAATACCTAATTACCTAAAAGCCCTTACTTAAAAATCATCTCTATGCAAAAGTCATCAAGGGCAAAATCGTCATAAAGAGATTTTAGAAAATTTTAACTCCCAAAATACTTAAAATCTAATATGGGTTCTATACATCGATTCACTCAAAATTTTACGCACTATTTTATAAAATTTATTGTGTCAAATTCTGATGACTTTGAAAATTTTAATTAAAACTCATCGCGACGCATCGAAAAGCATGTGAAGTCTAAAATGGCATACTGCGGGTTTTATAATTCTCCCTCTCTTATAAAAATTTTGTCCTCAAAAGTTAAGATAAGCTTATGAAATTAAACCTTTGTCAAATAGGTGTGGATAGCTTTCTCTCATCTTTGATTCCTTCTCTCAAGTGGCATCTTTCTCATATCCATGCTTCCAAAGGACTTTAATATAAGGAATCTCTCTACTTTGAAGTTGCTTAACATCATAATCTATGATCTTCTTAGATTCTTCTACAAATGTCAGATCTGGTTGGATATCTACTGATTCAATATTGATCTTCTGAGTTTCATCTGAAAAGTATTTCCTCAGAGAAGAAATATGGAATTCATTATGTACTCCACTCATATGAGTTGACAAAATTAGTCTGTAGGCCACACTTCTAATTCTCTCTGTTATTTCAAATGGACCAACATATCTTGGACTCAATTTTTCTACTTTGCCAAATCTCTTTACACCTTTCATAGGACTAACTTTGAGAAATACAAACTCTCCAACATCAAACTCAACTAATATATATTTAGCATCATAATACTTCTTCTGTCTATCTTACATAGCTTTCAATTTGTCATGGATCAGTCTTATCTTTTCAGCAGTATCATCTACTAAGTCAACTCAAATGATCTTTCTTTCTCTTGTTTTAGCCCAACATAAGGGAGTTCAACGCTTTCTTCCATAAAAAGCTTCATAATGTGCCATGCCTATACTTGATTGGAAACTATTGTTATAAGCAAATTCAATCAGTGGTATGTGTGTCTCCCATTTGCCACCAAAATCTAGTACACATAATATGAGTAAATCCTCTAAGGTCTGAATAGCCCTTTATGATTGACCATCAGTTTGAGGGTGGAAGGCTGTATTGAAAGTAAGTCTGGTACCCATTGC